CAACATTTTTATGAGCTGTCCCCTTCAAAGTAATCTCCCCCAGATGATATGCACTTGTCCCAACATTCCTGCCACTTTTGGAAGCCTTCAACTGTGAGTTTTTTGAGTTCCACTTTAACATTCTTATGGATGATTGGAATGTCATCAAATTTCCTTCCTTTCAGCTTCATTTTTATTTTGGGGAACAGAAAAAAATCACATGGGGCAAGGTCAGGTGAATATGGAGGGTGTGGTATCACAGAAATGTTTTTTTCAGCCAAAAATTCTTGAATGGAGACAGCAGTGTGTGAAGGAGCATTGTCATGGTGCAGAAACCATCAACCATTTTCACACAGCTCATGGTGGTTTCTTCTAACTTTATCCCTCGATCAAATCAAAACCTCTTTATAAAAGGCTTGATTGATTGTTTGACCACTCGGTACAAATTCCTGATGAACAATACCCTGAACATCAAAAAACACAATGAGCATTCCTTTCACATTTAATCAGCATTGTCATGCCTTCTTTGGATGTAGCGAGGATGGTGACTTCCACTGGGATGACTGGAGTTTCATTTCAGGGTCATAACTGTACACCCATGTCTCATCACCAGTAACAATGCAATTGATGAAATTAGGGTTGATTTCTATCCTTCTTATCAGGTCATCACACACTTCTTGACAATGAACCTTTTCATTATCAGTCAACAAACTTGGGACCAATTTTGCTGACGGTCGACGCATGCAAGAGATACGTCCGTCATTGAACGCGCCTTTTTCAACACTGGTTTAAAGTATGGGGGAGGGGCTTGTTCTAGGGATGCGGTGATATTTCTCCTTAATTCACACCTCAGCACAGCTCACTTCCACCACAGCGCGACCTGTAATAGATAAAGTCTTACAACTTTTTGATTAAACCTCGTATAAGAGGGAGAGTTAGTGGCTGGTGAGGCAATGTCTTTTACATTCTCCAGCCTCTGGAACACATTTATTCTGAAGGTTTAGAGTGTGGATGGACTGTAAGACCTGATTTTTCCTGCTTTCACAGAGACAGGTATTGAGTAGAACAAGTTAGCAAGGACATGAATCTAACAGGGATTGCATATGAGGCAAATGTTATTCTTGTTTAGCTTTTCTTGGATACTTGGCTTGATCTGGGGTAATTAATAGGTCTGTTTATGCATCTGTGCATTTTAAAGGATTGTCCCTTCTGTCCAGAGCATTAAAAAGGTAACTTGATTTCAGTTTGGTAAAGTTTTGAGTGAATGAACAGACGAATGAATGAATTATACTTTTATTAAAAATGCTGTTGGCTGTTTAGCAGCAACAAATGGTTGGAACTTAAGCTGCACATCTTGTCCAAGTGTCAGTAACTTCAGCAGCAGTGCTCCTCCATCGTGCTTGGAAACAATTTCATTACTTACTCCAAATGAAAGAAACCTATCACCAGCACCACTTCCCCTGGACCCTTGTTGTTTTGTTTTATTTTTTTTCTGAAGGTATTCTATCCAAGTGATGCCCCAGCCTAATTTTGATGTTAGATTCAACTTTTGTAACATCTTACCAATACTGAGTTATTTTTGCTTTGTGTCTAAATTGTTCAAATTGTTTTGAAATGTAAAGTCTGTCTGGGTAACACGTTAACAACATTTTTGTAACCTGGTTCAAAAGCTGCTTTTTCAAATATTTTTAAACTTTATGATCTATACATGGTGGGCTGCTTACCTCTGGTAGGAATTAATTGCCAATATGCCATTCTTATACATTTTCTTCGTGGTTGAAAAGCCTGGGGCTGTAAGCATGCCTATAATACTAATTTACTGCACCAGACAGCTTACAGCTGAAACGCACCACACTACTCTTTGTGCACTAACTTCCAAACTGGACATAGTGTAGCTAATTTAGTACTGTGCTGGAGGTGAGCTACTATATTTACTTGAATCTAGGATGAGGTTTTTTTTCCAATCAGCATAGGGGAAAAAGCCCTTCATCTTGGTTTTGGAAGCAAAGTGGGGGAGGGAGAGAGGGCAGGCAGGTGACTGCTGTAGCTCTGGCTCTGGTCTTGAGCCCACGTTGGGGCCAGAGTCGAACTCATGGGAGCCCAGGAAGGGTGGCTGTCCTTAAGGAAATGATCCTTCAGGCACAGAGGGAGACGATTCCAATGAGGGAAAAAGGGGGAAAGGGGCCAAAAATCTTCCTTGGCTGACCAGAGAAATCCAGAGCAGCCTAAGGTCAAAAAGGGGGGCATATAAGCAGTGGAAACAGGATGAGATTACTAAAGAGGAGTATGCCTCCTCAGGTCCCAGTTGTAGGGAGGCCGTTAGAAAGGCCAAAGCTACCATGGAGCTGAGGATGGCATCCCAAGTTAAGGATAACAAAAAATTGTTTTTCAGATATATGGGGAGTAAAAGGAAGGCCCAGGGTGGAATAGGACCACTACTGAATGGGCAAAAGCAATTGGTGACAGACAGGGAGGACAAGGCTGAATTCCTCAATGAGTTCTTTGCCTCAGTCTTCCTAAACAAGGGGTAAGACAAGTCTCAAATGGTAGAGAGGCAACAGCTGGGCACCAGACTACCAAGCATTGACCCTGAGATGTTGCAGAGTCACTTGGAAGGACTGGATGTGTTTAAGTCGGCAGGCCCGAATGAACTCCATCTGAGGGTACTGAAGGCACTGGCAGATATTATTGCACAGCCACTGGCAAGGATATTTAAGCACTCGTGGCACACGGGACAGGTCCTGAAGGACTGGAAAAGGACCAATGTGGTCCCTATTTTCAAGAAGGGGAGGAAGGAGGATCCAGGCCAGTCAGTCTCACCTCCATCTTTGGCAAAGTCTTTGAAAAGATTATTAAGGCTCATATATGTGAGAGCCCAGCAGGCAAAATTAAGCT